ACTAAGTGGGAAATGAAACCATCAGGCAAGACTATGGCATGGGTTCCCAACCCATGGCTTACGGCCCCATTTAGGATTGCGAACAGTTTTCTGTGGGGTCACCAAGTGGTGGCTTTTATGATAATTTTCAAAAGAAAAGGCTGATAAAAAAAATGAAATTACTCATACTGAAATATCGATTTTCTGTGTATTTATTTACACTAATAAAAAGCCTATTTTTAATGTATGGGGTCAGGGGTCACTTTGCTTCTTGTAAAAGTGGGTAGCGGCTCGGAAAAGGTTGAGAATCACTTAATTATGGGAGTAACAAATTCATTGAGAAGTAGCACATGTTTAGTCATCTCATTAGAATGCAGATACAATTACAAACACAAGCGCTATATGTAAGTAATCCAATGTGACAGCTAGTGGGAGCCAAAGGAGAGGATGGACTGAAAACATTAAAGACATTAATAATCCAAATTAAATTATGATTCTTCTTCTGCGTTCATCTAAACATGTAATTGCGTTATGCCTGTTTACAGCGTGGCTGCAATATTTGCACTACTCGGCCGATACATCTCACTTCTGCAGGCATTTGTTGATCAGGTTAGCCCTCCCAGGATAATGTCAGTGTTAGTCATTGAGCAACTGACCGCAAACAGTTTGTTCCATTTCACTTACCGGCAAAAGTGGAAGCTGATTATTTCAGGGACTACCAGGGATCTGGCCGATAATCAACACCCAGAGGAAAGGCAAGACAGCATATTATCAAACTGCTAGAGGTACTATTGGAACTGGAATTATGCACTGCCTGCTGAAGATGGGTATGAAGCAGTTATGGAAATGTCCAGAGTTCTGTGATATCAGTTCAATTCAACTGTCAAACTTGATGGGGAAAGATAAAGGGAATACACAGAGATAAGATCAAGGGAATACACAGAGATAAGATCAAGGCAATCCACAGAGACAAGATCAAGGGAATACAGAGACAAGATCAAGGGAATACACTGAAACAAGATCAAGAGAATACACAGAGACAAGATCAAGGGAATACACAGAGACAAGATCAAGGGAATACACAGAGACAAGATCAAAGGAATACACAGAGATAAGATCAAGGCAATCCACAGAGACAAGATCAAGGGAATACAGAGACAAGATCAAGGGAATACACTGAAACAAGATCAAAGGAAAACAGAGACAAGATCAAGGGAATACACAGAGATAAGATCAAGGGAATACTCGGCACTCGGTGGCTGATGTGGTTTACTTAGTACCCATTTAAGGCTGGGTCGATCTGGGTGCCAGGGTTATCTTTAAAACAAATTCCAGATCTGTCGGGACCTAAACCTAAAACCTTCGGATCCACAGGTGACTGTCTACTTATATTTTCTACAGGCAATAAACGAGACAACACCGACTCGGTGGTTAAGTTAGGTGGTAAACCTCGACTGCATACAATTATAGGCACGGCACATAACAATGATAAAATTTTAAAAACCTGCCAACATGCCACCACCGTCAGAACTGATCGACAAGGACAAAATATTTTTTTTTTAATGTGACTGTGACAAAATATATCACAAAATTATTTTACGCTGTTTGAAAGAATTATTTTTCCAATTTGAACTGGTACTAACATAATAAAGATTGTCTCTACTATTAAATGTTGGAATTAGTAAAATATAATGTAAAACATCGCAGCAAATCTCCATGTGGTTTCTGAGGCCCCATTTTGCTGCTTGCTTGCTTGTTGTACCCCACCAAGACATCACACAAGCGATGATACCCGGTGACAGAGTGCCACCATGTGGATCAGGATCACCCATGGAGAGGTCCCAGAAACCCCTTTCAGCCATTATGGCCACATTCATGACCTGGCTATATTCAGAGCCCCCAGCAAAAGCCAGGGTGAGGCTTCAATTAACGAAAAATTGCATCACACATGAGGACGACTTAGATAGGCTACCCCATTTTGATGGGGTCAGAAAATATAATATACCCACTGTCATCCAACAAAGCATGTCATAAAAGACCACTAAGGATTTACTGAAATCGGATGTGTTGTGACAAAAGGCAGATATCACAGAATGGCTGTGAACCACAACACGTCTCAACATTCACCCTTGTGAGAGTGAATGCACAAGAAGAATACAGCAAATGAAAGCAAACTGGACAAGTGCGACATTCCAGTATGTTCATGGCTCTGAACTACAAGGGAAAGCCATTAAGTAAAAGCACTTTTATCCTAGTCTGCACGACACAGTATGTAGAAGATAAAATTTTATTTCAGGAAACAGAATGGCTCCTTTGCAATATCCAAAGTACATGACTTAATGATTTAGCAGTACATGTATGCACATCAGCTCATATAAAATCACCAAAGCACAGCTAATATGCACTGTTGAAAAGTGATGAGGTTTGTCACTGCACTAAAACACCTGCCTCTACATGGATGCACATATTTTATAAATTAGACCCTGCAGTTTGAAGTACTGAAACATCCAGCATACAGCCCAAACATGGCACTATCAGACTTTTATTTATTTGACCACTGAATGAACACTGGTGAAGTCTGAGATATGAAAATGACAATGAGGTGATGTTGGTGGTGTAAACTTGGTTTCTTGCCACACCCAAAAGCTTCCACTTGGCCGGCATCTACATTCTTGTGGATCGGTGGACTGCATGCGTTGCAAGACAGGGAGACTGTGCAGAGAAATTGGACACGAAACAATTTGGTTTCGGCCGCGCGCAAAAAAAATTTTTTTAACGTATGGATTCAATTGCCTTTACTTAAAGACTTCCCCTCGTATTTTGTTATATTTTTTTCCCCAAAAAAATATATGCAAGCTAAAATTAATATTTAAAAAACTCAGAACATAGAGTAACAGGAGACTAGGAAAATGAGAAGAGGGATAAGAGAAAGAAGAAAAGAGGATTACAAAAGTAGAATAAGAATAGGATGAGGAGGAGAATAAGATGTGGAGAAGAAGAAGAATTGGATGATGATGAGAAGAAAAGTAAGAGGAAGAAAAATAGGAGAAGAATAATTATAATACAAGAAAAAAAAAAGAGTAGAAAAGAAAAAGAGGAAAAGAATAGTGGCAGAAGATAAATAGCAGGATGAAAAGGAACAGTTGGAGGAAAAGAAATCAGGAGGAGGAGAAGGTGTACTTTCATAAACAGATGCAAACAAACAAGTAAAAAAAATTTTTGGGTTTTGATTGTTTATTATAGCTTAGATTAGTTAACTATCCACAAATATTTTCCATGCACTAAGTTTGGTATTTTTATATACCTCTCAGAAATCAATTTTTCAGCCAACCAAAGATGGATACACTTTGCCAGAAAATCACTTTCTCACCCATCTAGCAAAGATTGATGAATTATCCCAGGAAATCAATTTCTCACCCACCTAGCAAAGACGAACTATCCTAGAAAAATCACTTTCTCACCCAACTAGCAAAATCAGATGAATTATCCCAGGAAATCACTTTCTCAACCCACCTAGCAAAGACGAACTTGGCTAGGAAATCATTTTCTCAACCCAACTAACAAATGTGGATAACTGTGCCTGGAAATTCTTTTCTAATCCAACTAGGAAGATGAACTGTCAGAAAATAATTCTTTCAGATACAGTGTCTTTGGGCCCGCACTCTTTCAAAACCCTGGCTGTCCAAGGAATTCACAAGACAAACATTACATAACACATAAATTACAACGCACATATATCACATTCAGACACACTATGCATACTCAACATACAACATAACACTCACACATTACACCTTTTTAAAAACAATAGAATTTATCAGCCAAATCTTGGATGTCCCTCTTTACCATTCCTAAACAGAAATCACTCAACATGAAAATAGAGACAAAAAGAAACAGATGTGTAACAAACAGCTGAAAGCTAGTTCTGTCTGATACGCTGTAATCATCATTATTATCATTTGTACCATAATAGGTTACATAGGGCTCGCAGTATATTTTTCCATTCTACCTTCACAATTGCTTCAGTATCACAGATCCAATCCAGTCCAGTACCTTTGGCCTCTCTTATCAACATGCAGAAGTCCTTGCCTCTTCAAGCCATTTGTTTCCCATCTCAACCCCTGTTTGGTGATTCACTGTTTGCTTCTGCATAGGATGTATCCCAAATAATACCATCTTTTTCAAAATGTTGACACAAGCAGCTGTCCACTATTGACACAAGCCCCTGTCCATTCTTGACATAAGCCGCTGTCCACTGTTGACACAAGCCCCTGGCCATTCTTGACATAAGCCCCTGTCCACTGTTGACACAAGCGGCTATCCATTGTTGACACAAGCGGCTGTCCACTGTTGACATAAGCAGTTGTCCAGACATGTCTCTCCTATCTTTGCTTTTCTTTAACACATGCCATTCAATGAACTGTTCACACAAACGGCTGTCCACTGTTGACATAAGCAGTTGTCCAGACATTTCTCTCCCATCTTTGCTTTTCTTTAACACATTCCATTTAATGAGCTTGAATTTTCTTTCTGACTGCATTTAACTTCAGTCTGAGATTTCCTTTCAGTAAACAGCATACAGGCAATTTAAAATAAGGACAACACAATCAATATCTTGATGATGATGATGGTAATAATGATGGTCTCTTGGTGATAATGATGACAGTATGATAACTGTCTCACTCGACTCTTTCACTGTCCTAGTACAGACCTAACTCTTTGAGTCCCAAACAATGTATCATGTGTTGCTGACTATTCCCCACAAGTCTCAAGTTTTGTTATACTTAAGTTTTGTCAGTTTACACTAAATAAATCTGGCAACCACATGGGCATCTTTCAGTCATTTTGCATTCCTACAACACAGCAAGTTGTTAGCATTCTCATGGCAATATGAATTTTTACAAACAATGATTTTTGTACAAAACCGAATAGGACCAAAAGTGACAGTGGGTGAATCCAGAGAGAGCACGATATACTGGCTATCTGCAAGTCTGTCTCCCAGAACATTCTGAAAGCCCTTTCTATCTCTTCCCTCTTTTGGCGCCCTGTGGAGGTTTCTGCAGTTGGAAAGGCTGTTTGGCGTTGTTCGTGGTGTTTAAGGATGTTCCTGCGAGGTTCAGCGCTGCCGTGGTGGAGGAACCCAGGGTTGGAGTGGTGCCAAAACCTCCGGATGCTGGAGACGTCAGTAGAGACGTGGAAGAGAACAAGTTCCCAACACCACCGATGTTGGGTCCGACACTTGACAGGCCTGCACCGGACCCAAAACCTGAGAAGAAAGAGCAGCGTGTCATAAACAATCTAAAACAAGTTCCCAACACCACCAATGTTGGGTCCGACACTCGACAGGCCTGCACCGGACCCAAAACCTGAGAAGAAAGAGCAGCTGATCATTAACATCATCTAAATAAATAAAATAACAAAATAAAAGAAAAAATACTACGTCCCAAACCCAATCTTTTTTTTTTTAAATTAAAAACAAAATAAAAGGAAGTGAACCTTGTGGAGGCCCAAATGAAGTATCATGGTTTAAAGAGAATGGGGCAGATGTTCAACACAAAGGGAAAAGGTAAGACCGACATACAACCAGACTGTTACTGGTGTGATCAGAATGGGAACTCTTTGCTGGCCGCTGCAGATGGGGAATACCAAGTGCTATGATGTAAGTTATTAACTCCCCTAAAAAGGGAGAGAGAAAGAGGGGGGGGGGGGGTAATTTGCATGCTGATGAGGCATATGATGCTAGACTCAGACTTTTCTAGACCAATCTGGCGCCTGAGAGGTGATGTGGTGGTCAACATCACGTCATCCACTTTTACTTCCCAGGAGATTTTTAGATGGATTATTTTTTTTAGGCTGAAGAAATAGATCAATAATGAACACAGAGCAAGAGGAGAAATATGCAGAATATGGAATGACAGCATCAAGAACAGCCTTGACCATTTCTGCCCTGATAAGACTAAATCTAGTCACTTGTGACACTGTCCCATGAATGACACTATATCACCAGGTCTGCAGGGACCTGCTCTCAAAAAGTCTAGTTGAATTCCATCTGTCCTATGTGTGCCTGCTCAGTGTTTAGTAGGCCAGGATATAAATACAGTAACTAAAAATAGTATTTGATTGGGGGGGGGGGGGGGGGGGGGGGCCTTATGACTTATGGCTTTATTTAAAACCTAGTTAATGTCCCAATTTTTCCAAAGCCTCAGTGATTGAAGTGATGGGGTCACCGCATCAGTCGCCCGACACATATTATCTGTTGGGCCCCAGGGAATGTATTCCACTGAACGCTTCACTATGTTCCTATTTATTGCTTACCCCTTTATATCTCTTGTAGATAATTGTATTTATAAGTAACTTGTGTAATATACTTGTTTATTTTGAGCATTTTTCTGGGAATTCAATTCCCATAAGGTCATGATCCATTTTGCCCACACTTTGGAAAGGTAACTGAAAGTAGGAATGAAAAGTCTGGTCTAGGAGTCAGAATTTTTTTTTTTTAATGTACCCACTTTGAATTTGAACCCAAAACCCTCTGGTTGCAGTGAAGCATCCAGCCTTTGAGATACTGCAGCTTGTAAACATCACTGATACAAAAAAGCAATATTACAACCATAATTACGTCAGTTATTCATACTCTTTCTCTCACTGTGACTTGTTATATATGTTGTGTGCAACCCTTCTGTCACGGTAAAACTTGAAAACAAAACATAGGTCATAATCCCAGGGAAACTCTTGAAAGAAATCCTTTAATAACATGAACAATAAATGGAACACATTCCGTGGGCCCTAAAATATATCTATGCCATATCAAGTGACTCATGTTGTGATCTCTATCACTGGGGAACATTTGTCAATCTGGCTTTGAAAATCTATCTGGTTTGAAGAACCCTCACCGATATATTTTTAGTTAATATAATTACATCCTGACTTCATAAATGTTTGTGCAGGTGTAAACACAGCCAATTGCAATAACTATGCATCTATGCAACAGAATCAAGTCTATATCAAGACAACAACAAAGAAATCATCTTAATTATTATCAACCTATCATGGTAATGACCAATCATTCATATCAGAAGCAATCAAGAAGGAAAGTAATCTAGTTAGTCCAATAAGAGTATTCTACGTAACATAAGCATTTCTAAAATAAAAAAATTAAAAAACAATTGTTTAGACAGACTATGAGAAATAATTTAGACAGTCCACGAAAGGTATAGACTGTATACGGAGAGTAATTTAGACCAGTCGGTCAGTTCCACGATAATCTTCCCACGTTGCACACTAGCTCACTTCTGATTGGTCAACCTCCAAGCATACTGCTAGGGAGGTATTCGACAATGCTGTTGATATCGCGTGTTGTATATTTAAGCATGCCAGCACTTTTAACACTACAAAAAAATTTACAATCTGGGTCTAACCCACAACCCCCCTAGAGTGCTGCAACCTATGTCACAGTCATTCTCTTTCTCTGAAGAAAAATGGAAATGCAAGATAAGCCAGGAAAGAAACAACATAGCTGTAACCCCCGGACAGCAGAAGAGTTTTTTAAAAAAATGTATGATGGTACGTGACCTACAGGGTTCATAGCCAAATTTACCAATCAATTTCAAGGCTTTTCAAGGTCTTTTTCAAGGTCTCCTTAGTTTTTTTCAAGGTTGTCTCGGTGTAATACTAATACAAGATTTTTGCCTTGTTCAAGGGTGTACTGAGCACACAAGGTACTTCATTTGTGCCACATGTGTTGGTATACCAGCACAGATATCATCATCATGTAGCATTTCCTTTATCCTGACAAAAAAAAACTCGGTCTCTCACCAGCTCTCCCGCCTCATGTACTTTTTTATACTCAAGGAGTCACTTATATCCTGTGTCCATCTTCGTGTTGGTCGGCCCCTGAGCTTGATATAGTGTTTGAAATTTTTTTTTAGGGCTTGGTGGTAGAGGGCAGCAAACTGAAGTCCTGTCTGTTCTGGACCTGGTACCTGAGAGGGTTAGGGGAGAGAGAGAGAGTCATGAAGAGAGAGGAAGACACATGCTGAGGTAGGCTGGGAGAGACAGTGTAAAGATGGACAGCTGAAGGTAGAGAAAAGAAGGAAAAGAAGTCTGGGGAAGGAGGAAAAAATGAGAGGGAGGGATGGAGACATGATGAGGAAAAGTGGGGAAGGGACAGCGAAAGACAGAGAGGGAGACAAATACAGAAAGAGGGAATGCAGATACAGAGATCGGCAGATGAAAAGAGAAGGAAAAAGGGAACGAAACAGAGATATGGAAGGAGGAAAAAATGACAAAGAGTTGAAAGAAGGGAGTCAGAGGGAGAGAGAACGGACAGGGTGAGAAGCAGATGCAAGCAGAGAGAGACAAAGGGACAGCACAGAGAGACAAGCAGACAGAGGAGAGAGAACCAAAGAAAGAGAAAAAAGGCAGAGCAGGAGAATGGGAGGGAGGTATACAAAGAGGAAGTGATGAAGGGAGGCAAACAGACATAAAGCAAGAGAGAGAGAGAAAGGTGGGTAAGGAAGGCAGTGACAAACACAGATTAAGAGAGGGGGGAAGGAAGGGAGACAAGATACCTCAAAGAAAAAAAAACAGCCACCCCCCCCCCCCCCCCCCCCCCCACACACACACAATTTCAAGTGTAGTGGACACAACCACTAGGAAAAGATAGTTATGGGGCAAAAAAATATGTAGATGAACCAGGTAAAAAAAAATGGGGGGGGGGGGGGGGGGGGAGAGAATGAGAGAGGGGAGCGGGTAAGGAAATCTAGAGAAAATGAAGAGACAGGATGGAGAGGAGACAAAGAAGAGATGGGACAGGAGAAAGGGCAAGGAAAGGAAGAGAGGAAGAATGGAGAGAGAAAGGAGAATAGTAGAAGATCAAAGGAAAGAGAAGGGGTGAGAGAAGAAAGGTAAGACACGGTTGTGGGGGTGGGGGGTGTAAGAACAATGAGTGCCCAAAATAGAATTAGGAAATCTCTAAGTGAGGCCACTTTTCCCGGTTCCTTCCCTCTCCCAATGTGAATGTGGCCGTGGTCCAAAAACAACAGTGCTAACCCCTACTGCCCCTTGCTTGTCCTATCTGTGTGTGACAACAATAATTCAATTTCTTACACTTAAGGCTGGTGACCTGAGAGCCAAGATCATTTTATGAAGAAAAAAAAAAGTCCAGGGGATCCCACCCACCACTGGTGGAAAATAGAGAAGTTTACCCACACACATAAATAGGTCAGACACATAAATAGGTCAGGGCAGCAGTGGACTTCATTTTATTTCTGGTTTTCCAATTACAGAAAGGAGGGGAGAGAGGAGGTGGTGGAAAGTGGTGTAGAAGGCTGAGGTGGTAAGGGTGAGACAGAGGAGGTGAGAGAATAAAGTTTAAGAAAATAAAGTGGGAATGAGACAGGGAGAGAAAGAAGGGAGTAAGAAATAAGATGAGATATAGAGGGAAGAAGGTAGCAGGAAGGGGTGCACTCCCTCCCCTAGGTGTCATCAATGTGGGAGGAGGAAAAAAAAAAAAGGGGGGGGGGGGTGACGGCAAATGTGTTTTTAAAAGTACACATATATTTAATGTGTGGGAGGGGGGAATGATGGACATGAAATGTTCTGCACTAGGCAACACATAACCTTATACACCAACTGAAGGTATGGAGAAAGAAAGAAAGAGAGAGAAAGAGAGGGAGGGAGTGAGGGAGAGCGGCAAATACAAAGAGAGAGAGGAAAGCAGTGACACAGACAGTCAGAGAGTGAGGAACAGGTAGGACAAAAATGTGAGGGGGCGGGAAGGGAGATGGACAGAGATTAAGGCCGCTAGGAAAACAAACACATCAAAAGAAAATATCCACCATGTTCACACAGAATGCCCCCCCCCCCCCCCAAATACAACTTCCTGTGTACTTGAGTTGCTAGGAAGAGTTATGGAGCCGCACATTTACTAAACATAAACAAGAAATAAAATAGGAAAAAGGGGGGGAGGGGGACAGGAAATGAGAGAGTAAAAGAAAAGATAGAGAGAAAGAGAAGAAGATGAAGATCAGAAGGGAGGGTTAGAGACAATGCAGGAGACGGGAAGGAAGGAGCAATAGGTAGAAGAGTGAAAGAGGGAGGGAAGAGAGAGAGAGAGGGGTGAGACAACAGAAGAGGGAATCTCGGGGAATTACAATACTGATCGCCAAACACACTGTAAAGATAAATCCAGGCCAAAAATAGAACTGGGAAATCCAGCTGCAGTCACTTTGCTTAGCCCCAATGCCATCTCTAATTAATAGAGAAGGCCGTGCTTAGCCCCCACCACGGCGACTCTATTTATAAATACAACTGAATCGAGCCCCACCATCTCCCAATGTAATCCTTTCTAGAAACCACGGCCATAAACGATTTAAACTGTTCATTCTGCCGGACTCGCTAGAAACAAAGGCACACACACACACGCGCGCGAGACGGAATCTGCTACTTCCCGCCCCATGCCACACCGCTGCTGTCTGCATGTTTTCATGATCAGCAACAAAGCCCGCCCTCCCCTGGCCTTTAACAAGCCATTTCGGCTGAAAATAGCCAATAATCAGCTGCCCTCACACCTGAAACGACCATACAACGAAAGTAGCCAAAAACTAGCCAAATGGCCAAAAAAAGCCAAATGGCTCCCTCAAAATTGCCTGTGCTGAAAAACACAGGATTTCTGACGATTTCATTGCCGCGGTCAAAATTCACGGGTTTTTAAGGTCGGAATGTCTTTTATAAGCTAAAAATCCCGGTTCAAGGTCAACGAAAAAAATCCCGGTAATTTCCCGATTTCCCGGTCCACTACGAACCCTGGACCTAGTTTGGCTGGGGAGATTATCGTGGAACTTACTGACTAGTCTTCTCCAACTGGTGATCAAAGAATAACAAAGTTAAGGGGTCGTGACATCATTTACATAAAACCCACAGCTTTAGTATGCCATCTTTTCTGCAAGTTATTCACAGTGACTACTGAAAAGTATGGGGAGACGTCCCAGAACTCAGATGTTCATTTTGAGAACTACTGATTTAGACAGTCTACAAAAGTAATCTGGACTGTCTATAAAAGTAATCTAGACAGCCTGCAAAAGTAATCTAGAGTCTATACAAGTAATCTAGATGGTCTACAAACGTAATCTAGACAGTCAAATCAAATAAAAAAGTGGTGATAATGGACTCTTCACACATTTAGACCAACCTGTTGTAGACTTAGGGGTGCCGAATATCCCACTGCTGAAACTGGACATGCCAAAGCCAGTCTGTGTCCCCCCAGATAACCCTGTCACTGGAGGACCTGCAACAGTCATGGGGAGCATGTACAAATGTGACAACATTCCCCGACATACCTGGATGGCCGCACAATTTATCGAGGTATTTGTAAATCGTATAACATTCACTGTGGTACTTGTAAAATGGTACAAAACTCATATGGTACCACATCGTTTGTTTGAGTTGTAAGACATGCTCTGATGTTTGCTTTGGTGACCTACATTTGCAGGTGGCAGAACCAGTGAGAGGTAAGCTGAAAGGAAAGTTTCTTGCCAGCATTCAGTGGTATCCAGAATGAAACAAACAGTTGTTTGAATATTTCCAGACTTTGGTCTTGCTCCAGGAACTAAGTTTTGCATGCACAGATCTGGTATATCTGTTGTAAATTACTGGTTCCATGCCTCCCAGGTGGACGCATTCCTGTTCTAAACGAAACTATCAATGCTGGACAGATGCCTGGTAGGGAACCTGTTTCTAGGATGACTACGGAGATGTGCAGGTAAGTCTTGAACCAGATCAGCCCTAGTCCTGGTCTACCAGCACATGTTGTTCACCAGCTCTGCATTCCAGGAAAACCGAATGTGAGAAACGGTTGTAGCTTTAGATAAAATAGTAAGTAAAGTACATCTTGTCCATGCCTTTAGATACAATAGTAAGTAAAGTACATCTTGTCCATGCCTTTAGATACAATAGTAAGTAAAGTACATCTTGTCCATGCCTTTAGATACAATAGTAAGTAAAGTACATCTTGTCCATGCCTTTAGATAAAATAGTAAGTAAAGTACATCTTGTCCATGCCTTTAGATAAAATAGTAAGTAAAGTACATCTTGTCCATGTCTTTAGATACAACAGTAAGTAAAGTACATCTTGTCCATGCCTTTAGATAAAATAGTAAGTAAAGTACATCTTGTCCATGCCTTTAGATAAAATAGTAAGTAAAGTACATCTTGTCCATGCCTTTAGATACAACAGTAAGTAAAGTACATCTTGTCCATGTCTTTAGATACAACAGTAAGTAAAGTACATCTTGTCCATGCCTTTAGATACAACAGTAAGTAAAGTACATCTTGTCCATGCCTTTAGATACAACAGTAAGTAAAGTACATCTTGTTCATGCCTTTAGATACAATAGTAAGTAAAGTACATCTTGTCCATGCCTTTAGATAAAATAGTAAGTAAAGTACATCTTGTCCATGCCTTTAGATACAATAGTAAGTAAAGTACATCTTGTCCATGCCTTTAGATACAACAGTAAGTAAAGTACATCTTGTCCATGTCTTTAGATACAACAGTAAGTAAAGTACATCTTGTCCATGCCTTTAGATACAACAGTAAGTAAAGTACATCTTGTCCATGCCTTTAGATACAACAGTAAGTAAAGTACATCTTGTTCATGCCTTTAGATACAATAGTAAGTAAAGTACATCTTGTCCATGCCTTTAGATAAAATAGTAAGTAAAGTACATCTTGTCCATGCCTTTAGATACAATAGTAAGTAAAGTACATCTTGTCCATGCCTTTAGATACAACAGTAAGTAAAGTACATCTTGTCCATGCCTTTAGATACAACAGTAAGTTAAGTACATCTTGTCCATGCCCTTGGATACAACAGTAAGTAAAGTACATCTTGTTCATGCCTTTAGATACAACAGTAAGTAAAGTACATCTTGTCCATGCCTTTAGATACAACAGTAAGTAAAGTACATCTTGTCCATGCCTTTAGATACAATAGTAAGTAAAGTAAATCTTAACCATGCCTTTAGATACAACAGTAAGTTAAGTACATCTTGTCCATGCCCTTAGATACAACAGTAAGTAAAGTACATCTTGTTCATGCCTTTAGATACAACAGTAAGTAAAGTACATCTTGTTCATGCCTTTAGATACAACAGTAAGTTAAGTACATCTTGTTCATGCCTTCAGGTATACTTGGCATTTAGGGTTAGATCTATATTTTGAAGACCTATCGGCACTCGATAGGTGATGCGGTCAACAGTATGCCGGACGTCTTTACTTCCCAGGACTGTATCTTGTACCCATTTAAGGCTGGGTTGACCTGGGAACCAACCTAGGTCATTTATTCAAAAAGTCTTGAACCCACAGTTTTCCGATCCGCAGGCGAGCATCCAGCATTACACCACAGCAGCTCCCTTATACACCATAGGGAACAACACAAGTGATCACGATGAGAAAATAAAACTTATGCTGTCCTGTAAAAACAGGCACAACACAAAATCTAACCTTGAGGTTGCTGAGCACGGGAATGTACCATCGCCATGGCTTGTGCAGCCGTGTTTGTGGTGTCTGGAAAAGGGTTTGGACCTGCCAGTTCTGATAAATGTGTCTTTTTAACAGTCTTGGGCAGTGGCATTGACTTATGGAAGATGTTCTTAGAGTCGCTGTGGAAGACTCGTCTGTATGTCAGGAACTGGTCTTTTTGAGCCTGTAGATCAATTAAACAAATAAAAGAAGAAATTAACCATTTGAGCTACTTGAGTGCGCAAAGCAACAATACAATTCATAACGTGTTAAAATCACTTTGTCTTCTTTTCGGTACACAATGGTTGTAAACTCGGGCTGAAAATTCTGGTTCATCCACTTCTGCTGCTGACAAATCTGGTTTAATTGTATGTAGACAAATCATCACTAACTATTGCCATAAAGGCTAATAGACTTCAATGGCTGGGGCATAAAGTGAGAACAGCGGATAACAGAAAGACAAACACTATGCCTACAAAAGAGCTGAATTAGGGCAAACCAGACCAGACCACGAGGCAGGCGAAGAAAGATGCGAACAGATAACGCAGGCAGACCTACTAACACTTGGAGTCACCAACTGGAAAGGAAAGGCCAGTCTAAGTAACAAAGATGAATGAGTGCAAGGGATATCTGCAGATATGTAACCTGGAGGGCTCCGAATGCTGAAGAATAATTTGGGCCACATGTTGGTTTCATTTTGGATACCAAAGCGGAGAAAACATATATATATATATATACCATGACAGTCTCCTGGTCGTACTTTACACTCTGAGGCTGAAGAGACGAGAGCACAAGTTCCTTCAGAAAATACACCCTCCATACCTCACAGACCCACTCCACATTCTAAGACAAAAGAGGAGTGGGTAAAAGTTCTACCACATGTACACATCTAGACTCCTCATGGATCTACTCTCTGCTCTAAGACAGAAGAGGAGTGGGTAAAACTTCTATCAGATGCACATACCTTGACTGCCTCGTGAACCTGCTGCAGCTGAGCAGCCAGCGAGATGAAGGTCTCATGCAGTTTCTTCAACAACAGAAGCAGCTCTGAAACAACACAAGCAAGCAACACATTACAAGACACAGATTTTATTTATCTCCAAGAACATTACTTTGTTAAGCTCTTTCTTCTTGCCTTATACATTTACTTTGTTAAGCCCTTACTTCTTGCCTTATACATTTACTTAGTTAAGCTCTTACTTCTTGCCTTATACATTTACTTTGTTAAGCCCTTACTTCTTGCCTTATACATTTACTTAGTTAAGCCTTTACTTCTTGCCTTATACATTTACTTAGTTAAGCTCTTACTTCTTGCCTTATACATTTACTTTGTTAAGCTCTTACTTCTTGCCTTATACATTTACTTTGTTAAGCCCTTACTTCTTGCCTTATACATTTACTTAGTTAAGCTCTTACTTCTTGCCTTATACATTTACTTAGTAAAGCTCTTTCTTCTTGCCTTATACATTTACTTAGTTAAGCTCTTACTTCTTGCCTTATACATTTACTTTGTTAAGCTCTTACTTCTTGCCTTATACATTTACTTTGTTAAGCTCTTACTTCTTGCCTTATACATTTACTTTGTTAAGCTCTTACTTCTTGCCTTATACATTTACTTAGTTAAGCTCTTTCTTCTTGCCTTATACATTTACTTAGTTAAGCTCTTACTTCTTGCCTTATACATTTACTTAGTTAAGCTCTTACTTCTTGCCTTATACATTTACTTAGTTAAGCTCTTACTTCTTGCCTTATACATTTACTTAGTTAAGCTCTTACTTCTTGCCTTATACATTTACTTAGTTAAGCTCTTACTTCTTGCCTTATACATTTACTTAGTTAAGCTCTTACTTCTTGCCTTATACATTTACTTTGTTAAGCTCTTACTTCTTGCCTTATACATTTACTTTGTTAAGCTCTTTCTTCTTGCCTTATACATTTACTTTGTTAAGCTCTTACTTCTTGCCTTATACATTTACTTTGTTAAGCCCTTACTTCTTGCCTTATACATTTACTTTGCCTATGCGAGCTTCAAGATTCTGCTGGGGCTGGTATGGTTATCATTAGTTTTCAAATGGAACAGTGAACGACATTTGGTCTGATTTCCTCTGGCAAAGTAAACTAAGAGTGCAGTAATTATAGGATGACCTGTCTGCAATTAAGTTGGAACCTTGACTAAAGACTCTTTCGACTTTCATCTACCAGTGGAACATACAATCGACAAGTCTTCCTTTGCTACCTCTTGCAGCTCCTTCTATGTAATTCCTCTGTCTCTAATCATCTGTTTCCATGTTTCAGGTGTCCCTTATTGGTTGTCCTGTTGGTTCCAGAAGGACTTTCTAGTTTCCTGATATTACCCTCATGTGGGTTCCAGCGCTACATGTTGGGGGGGGGGAGGGTATACCCACAACCCTCCTAACAAGTCTGTGGCAGCAGGCGACTAATCAGGGGTGTTAGAGAGGCCAGGAACCAGGAATACAAATATGCCAGATCTCAGGGGTGTTAGAGAGGCCAGGAACCAGCAATACAAATATGCCAGATCTCAGGGGTGTTAGAGAGGCCAGGAACCAGGAATACAAATATGCCAGATCTCAGGGGTGTTAGAGAGGCCAGGAACCAGCAATACAAATATGCCAGATCTGTCAAGCAGATGTGTTTTCATTCAAGTTCTAGAACAAGATCAAAGTCCACAAATGATTGAACAATCAGCAATTTCCACAAGAGTTGACAGCTGCTGATCGCTAAAAAGAATATATTTTATAGTTTTTTTAATGTGTCTAATATCCATGTCCAGCCTAAAGACCAGAGCTAATGTCCAGATTGTAGAAGACAGACAAGAGAAGCGGTCAAGCTATTAGAAAACAGACAAGATAAGTAGTCCACATATCCGATGATCCACCAAATCATTCTAACCATGTAACGGTAAAGTTGGGAGATGTGAACCAATGTCATTACACACAGTTATAAACCACAAGTGCTCTGCCACCAGTACAGACAGCTGATATCTACTAATCATAAGTAACCCATCCTAAGTCCTATGTATCTTTTCTTCACATAACTCTAATTTCCTTTTGTTTCTTCCTTTTGGGGGGGGGGGGGGGGGTCTGTCTTTATTCCTTTGGCAGGTTCAAAGTCTTGGGTATGTCATTGTTACTTTGGCAGGTTAAAAGTTTTGGCTCTGCCTCCATTATTCTTTTGGCAGGCCTAAAGGTCTTGGGTCCCTTTATTCCTTTCCCAACAGTCTTACATCTGCCATTATTCCTTTAACAGGTCCAAAGGTTTTAGATCCAAATCCTAGCGGAGTGGATATGAAAACAAAAACTAACTTTGGCTCTCGGGTGAATAAGCCTTATATAGGCATCTAGGAAGTAAATCAGCTGCAGTCATGCTGACAACATCACCCACTGAGTGCCGGTCACTCTACAAACAACATGAGTCACCATCACATGTTAAATGGACAACTGGTTTTTTTTTTTAATCCTTTATCTTACTTATTTTTTTGTGTGTCTTGTGGATTCCAATGAAAGAACATTCTAGTTACACCATCATAGGGTTTTCTCAATATGCATCATTTCCAAAGCCAGCTTCTTGTCTATAACTATTGATTCATTAGAACTCAGTTCTCCTTAAAACTTTTCATTACTGAAGGCAGAAGAGAGAATAATAAAACTCTAAGTGACCTGATGGAGTGTGGGGGGTAGGCTGATGAAGAGCGGCCAAGTGACTGTCTAAGGTTTCTATCTGTTGTCTGTAGGTCACCATTCTCTCCTCAAACTCTTCCACAAGATGCTGGAAGTACCTGGACAAACAGAAACCATGGTTACGAGCCTGTAGCATTGCATGATGATCAAAGGTAATAATCAGTATTACCGCTGTGATGTTGAACACATCGCCTAGCAGCTAGACATTTGCCTGCTGGCCTGAATGTCTCGGGATCCAATCATTTTTTTAATTGAATCCTTAACCCACTGACTAACTGTGACTGTGATAATTTTCGAACGAAGTGGCATCAAAAACATCGTCCAAACTTAAAGGATGACATTTCACTTATGTTAGTCGCGAGTATTTTATGTTAAACTGGTTTGTGGAGCCTTTTCGTTTGATGTTGTTCAGGTGTGTACTGTTAGATGCCTCTGATAGTGTATCATGTGTATGTTATGGCTATATGGATGTTTTATAAAAATTGTTTCACAATGCAGTCCTTGACACTTACTGGGATTTAATCCCCGTGAGAGGCAGTTTGAGAACAGATTTTCTTGCCCATTTTTGACAAATCAGTCACATACTACATCAGAAATTCTTCGTGCAAAATGGCAAACAGCCAAGACAATTACAGAATGTTATTTCACAGTTAAGCTGAGCTCTCGCTCAGGATGACTTCAGTCGGCCCTCCCGCACGCACACACACGCTTGCACACACCTGCACGCACACACCCGCACACGATTTCAGTTGCCTTTTTTGGGGGGCATAAATCTGCAGCCACATGATGATGATGACGTAAAACAAGATTGCACAATTTGTGTCTTAAAATTTGTTCTTCATTCAACATGGTGCAAAAATACAAAATATGAGTTTATGTTAAATAGTTGTGAAGCTGTGGCATTTTTAGTAGACAGCAGAGATGTGGTAACAGACTTTTAGCCAGTGGGTTATACAATGCTAGAACATAAACACAAATGTAAATATATGATTTGCTCACAGTTAGGGCAGAAACAAGTAAATTCATGTGAATTTGTTAGTGCTAAGGAAACACATGCTACCATGTGACTTTCTTCACATAAAAATACAGTTACTTACTCTGTCGGAGCTGTGTTCTCATACTGCATGCTAGCAGGAATATCCTTGGTTCTCTGAGCCATCTCTGCATCCTTCAGTTTCTAAAAAACAAGGGGAAAGAGAGTTCTACAAGGCTGCTTCAGAAAGTTCCTGGAATTACTGACTCATGTGTGGATTATTAATTATGATATGAAGATTATAGTTTTATAAATTTATTTTGTCTTATGGGCATAGCATGATCAGAGCTGAACATGTCCTTGGTTGGGCAATGAACAAATGCCAAATTGTGTGTTTGTCTTGAGAAATCGCCCTCAGAGAGAGTATGGTTGCTTCATAAAGTATATGGTAATAACACATTGAAGAAATTGCAAATTTCTGAGTGGCTAAAGAGTTTCCATGAAGGTTGTCTTATTTAGTTTTGATGACAAACCTAGTGAGTGACTGCCAACTGTGATAAACAATGAAAACAGTGAGTGTGTTGGGAACACTGTTTGTGTTGACAGAAAACTTGGTGTCACGAAAATAGCCTCATGAGTATCCTCATGACCTCTTACTGGGTGATTTTTTTTTTAATGGTTCCTTCATCTAAAACAGGCACTGAAAAGGCAGCAATAAAATGATGATGAGGATGTTATCACCAATGGGACAAAGCATCTGAAAGAGGTGTCAAAGAATGGGTTCCAGAACTCTATGAACATTGGCAAACTGGTGTAGATGTTGAAGGAAACTATTGTTGAGGAAAGGTAGTTTAAATAATTGCACTGTTACTTATTTTTACAGAATACACAAACTCCAGGATATTTCAAGAGCTACATCCGTGGAGCACAGGCTCTCAACCAACACACTTCAAGACTTTGGTAGAGCTGTTTATAACTGAGTAGGCAATAAGGAGTTGCTCGATGGTTACAAACGCTGAGCTCTCCTCTGGGACACGACACACACACATATCCACATTTTAGCCTGCACATTTCAAGGTGTCTGCACTATACACGCAGACCTACATTTTAAGGCTCAGGCATCCTCCCCTCCCCCCAACATCATGCAGAGACAAATGTATGGGCACACAAAACTCAAGTTCTGGATCATGACCAAAGTCCAGGAGTGGACAAACAACCACAACTTTCTGCCTGCCAGGATTGACAGCTGGTGAGTGTTTAGAAAAAGAATCCCTGTAGTTACTTTAACCCTCTCTGTCCAACATAGATTTAGACTTCTTTGGGTCCAACATTTGTTCCTTTTAAGCAACAATTGCTTCAGGAAGAACAGGTTAAAGTAAACACTCATGGGACCTGAAGATCAATCCTGAGTCTCTCAGACTGTGGCCTAACCAACAACAGAAAACTACTATTACTACCTCTACTGACCTGTTCTGCTGTGTATAGTCTGAAGATTTCAGGCCACATGGCTAGTGCTGTAGTCACAGACAGCAAAAGGTTAGGATTTGATTGTTCAGAAGAAAAAACCCAACCCTTAACTTTACTGAGAATTGGAACCTGGGTGTCCCGTATGAAAGCCCAGTGTTCTTATCCATTTGGGTAACCTGAACAGTGATCTAATGTCAACCAAGGCTTGATACTGGTACCAGGAAATAAAATGGGAAGTATAAGTGAGCATTCTACGGCTCACAACATCTGTATAATGTCATTGGTCTGCTTCTTCTACTTGATGCAACAAAACTGTTTAGAAAAAAAAAATGATAAAGCGGTGAAGGCTTTCTGGGATGAAATGGACATTTTAACAGAACAGATAATCTATACACTGAAAGACTTTCAACTGGGGGTAAGCAGAGGTTTTGGAAGATATTTAACAATGAGGGGGAAACACAGGCAGACTTTAAACCAAGTTGACAATGAGGGGGAAACACAGGCAGACTTTAAACCAAATTGCAACTAATATTAGCAGGTCAAGTCTTCATTGGCTACTGGAAAAGGGGACGGAGCATGTCTGGGAATGTCACTAGTGCAGTGATGTCTTTTCTTGATTCATTCACCTGTGCCATCTCCTGCTTCAGTTTCTCCACGGAGCAAGCATTCCTCTGTAGTCCGTTGGCTACCACAGACAACAGCTGTCGTAGAACTGTCACATCTTCCTGGACTTTTATCATCGGCTTCGAGGACATACGGGTAATGTCTTCCCGGACGGCCTTCTCTTCTTTTACGTACTTCCTGAAAGGCAAATATGAAAGAAAGTAAGAAAGAGTAAATAATGCTTATAATTTCTTATTTTAAAAAAATAGTAAGCAGGCAAGAAACAGCGAAATACAGCGAGGAAAAAACAATAAATAGAGACGGATAATGAAAAAAATATTTCAAAAAATAAAATGCTGAACGAAATAAAAGTCAAGAATCACTTCCAATGTTTTAATGTAAAAAAGTAATTTTAAGAAAACAATGCTAAGAATACAGAAAAAAGCACAATGGGAGAAACAGGCAAGAAAGAAAGAAAAGAAAATGTTAACTGGTTTAAATATGTTAGTGACAATGCTGATAAAACATGCTACATACTGCAAAGCATCAACTGTTGCTCCAAGCGGTTCTGGAAGTAAGGATTCTTTAACAGTTTTACCATCGCTGTGAACAGAAAATGGAAAAATTAAAAATCTGAACTAACAACTCAAATTCAGAAATACCATGGCAGAAGCATAAATATCTGCATGACTGCCAATCATAGTACTCACCAGGGGTGTTGTTCATCATTTCTCCCTTAAAATTGTGACTTAAACAGGTTTGAGACAGCAAATAAATTGCTCTGCTCACTTAAGAGAGAATGCCTTGTGGTGAATTACCATATAAAGCATATATATAAAAAAGAGAGGAAAAGTCTAAAAAGGGCAAGGCAGACCAAGAACAGAAAGACACATTTTTGTTAAATAAACTGTTTTAAAATATCCTTTTTTTAAAGGAGGGGGGGGGGGGGTTTGAACATGATGTGCAGAAGCCTTCTTTCCTTCCATTTATATTGCCCCCTCTGAGCTGCTGCCTGAAGGTCTGACCACAAAATCTTAAAAAAAAAGATTTTAAGCCAAACGGGGAAAATTCCCAGGTATCTTCTATAACTCAGGGTGCCAAATAAACAGCGGTCACCTTATATATTAACCCTTTTTTTTATTTCAGTGCCAAAAAGATAGAGGCTTCAGGGGGGATTCTCATAGTTTACACAAAAACAATTTTTAAAAACAAGGCGTTTAATTAACATATACAAAACTTTCTATAAATGTGTAGGAAATTGAATGAGCTAATAGAATATAAATCAAACTGAAATCTCAATATTTATTCAAATTAACTATTATGATTTGCATAATTTATGCAAGAATTTTTTTCCTTAGGAACAAACATGACTAACCTATTTTAAAAAAAATCGGTGAATTTTTGTATGGATGAAGCTTGAATAAGTCCTAACACTTGTATTTTTGGGAAGTAAGGCCCATGGAGGCCCTTCAGACATTTCTGGCACACGGTTCTACTCATTTTCCTGCCTCCAGCTATGTTTCAGTTGCTATGACGCAACAGTTCTTTTCGCCATTTTTGGGGGCATAGGTAACCCCACACACAAAAATCGATGTAAAATTACAGAACACGTCAAATTTTCTCAAAAGCTGTCGCTAAAAAGCCCACATGTGCAAGAAATGTGAGAAGCAATCTGATTGGCTGTTATAAAAACCTGCCAGCCAATCTCAAGGCTTGTATTATATAGGGCTGACGAATTGGCCCATTTTTTTGGCCTTTGTGTCAAGTCGATAAATTGACCGCATAGTCTTCAAAGGGTTAGAGTGATTTACAAATGGGAAAACTACGGTGCTTTGTTGGCTTTAATTTAAATATGAATATTTTTATTTAGTAAGTTTTTAATTTTCACAAAGTTTCTCATGCAATTATCTGGCAATTCCAAAAGTGACGGAACATTACCTGGTAGCTCCTGCACTAGTGCTTCCACCTACAAAGAAATAAATGAGGTAAAATAAGTGCTCATCAATTATCATTTTTACTTGAATGTAATTAAGTTCAGATGAATGACAAATTGAAGAACAAAAAGATGTACTAAAGGAATCATCTTATTCAATGTCCAAGATACACAAACATACAGTAACGCAGACATTTAACTTCTTTACGTCAGAATCTGTAAATTCCAGTGGTAGAAAAGTTCTGCGTATCTGTCCACATCTGGACTTTAGTTTTGTTCTAGAACTTGAGTTTTGCGTGCACATCCGTTTTAGATCTGCCTTATTTGTTTGCAGACTGTTGGGTCATCCTCTCTCAGGCTGATGTACTCCAACTTCAAAGGAAGCACCACTAATTAGTCGACTAACAAAATGCTTGTTAAGGGAGCAGACGATCCAATGGGCTGTTTTGCTCCAGAATGGGGCCTCGGGAACCAACATGGGGAACTGGAGCTACTGAGTTCATAATGTGGAGACTGAGCCACTAGTGATGAACAATAGTGCAACAAAGTCAATCCTCTCAACGCTGGCACAGGTGCAAACTCACTCAACGGCAGTACCAGTGCAAAGGGTTGAGGACTATGTTTTTTTTAATCGGAAGGTTAACCCGGCCAATTAATATCTTCACAAGTCAGACATTACGGCTGAAAAGCGCAAATACTGCAGCCATGCTGTAAATGGGCACAACACATTTACATCTTTGGATAAATGCACAACAATTTTTGTTTAAACCTCAACCTACTTTTTTTTTTAACCATCCCAGTCACAGTAAAGATTTACCTTTTTTTTTAACCATCCCAGTCACAGTAAAGATTTACCTTTTTTTTTAATGCGACTAACGAAGAGTCAGGGGAGGGGGTCCCCGCCAGGCCTTCAAAATTAGAGGGGTCTGTGATTCCTATATAAACCAATGCCTTAGATCACAAACCTGATTTCAGAGCAGTATTTGGGTCAAGTCCGCCTAGCCCCACTGTGGCTGTGGTCTGTGGCAATGATGTAAAGATGCTTGCAGCTGTTGTCTGTGGCTGCGAGGTAAAGATGCTTGCAGCCGAGGTTGTTGTTCCTGACGGAGCACCAAACATACCACTCCCTAACCCCAAACTGAGGCCACTGGAGCTGGTGGAGGCTGGGGTACTCCCTAATAGACCTACAAAAGGATGACAGATTAATTCAGAATAATTTACTATGTAAAAAAAAACTTAATTCATTTGGAAGAAAAAATAACAGAACGCTGCTATGCTCTGGCGCATGTCAAAAGTGGAGTGCTCATCGTTAAACTATCATTATCAGTCAATGTGTTTGTCTCCATCGTGATGTCACTCTTGACATCCTTAACAACAATACTGACAGGTTACAAGACAATAGTATGGTTTCTGTAATTTATTTCCCACGTTTTCATTTGAAGTGCCTCCTAACAGCACCGGTTCTATAGCACATTTCCGTTTCCTTCCACTACATGTGTTTAAACGTTTCTGGTTTTTCGCCTCTTACTGATGTGGTGTAGGATTCTTGTCTTAAGCGATACAAAATGTTTCTTCAAGCATTTGCTTGAAATTGTTGTCTTTCAGCGTCCAGCTTCCTGGACACATTGAGTGTTGTGTCAGTTTAGTTGTCAGTGCTGACTCAACTGGAAGCCATGATAGTGCCTGCAGTGACCTGAGCCTTACCTGCCACTCCTGGGCTTAAATCAGCGCTGATTGATGTTTTTTCTCGCAAAACTGACCCCGGCTATCAAATCAAAAAGGGGTAACAGGTCATATTCTGGAAGGTTATGTTATCACAATCAACATCACCACTGCACATTGGGCATTCCCATGCGTGCAGTTCTCTGATGCAGCAGCCACTCCTAGGTATTTCTACTTATTGTTCCCATGAGAAGTTGGTTATATTGTTTTCTATCTCAGCCTCGAAGATGGCATAGACATGCTCTACTCCCATGTCAGGCAATCGTGTTAGTGTTAGAGATTTGTCATTATCCACTAGCCCAGTCTGTACAACATTGACGACAACTGCTCTTTCCATGCTTTTTCCCACATGCATTGATGCAATGCTTGCCAGTTGGTCCGCAAGCTTATTACCCTTCACGCATACATGACCATGTGTGTAGATCCAAGTGAGGGAGGTTAAGAGCGATTTTCAAATGCTTTCCGCCCACTCAAAGTGCATACCGCCTGTTGCTATCTTCTGATGCATGTTCTGGGAGTCTGAGACAATTACTGCATGTGTGGCTGTTTGCTCTCATGCCCAAGCTAATGCTCTAGAAGCAGCAGCTATCTCTATGGTCATGCCTGATGTAGTTTTTTGGTAAGCCGCTACCTCTTGTATTGTTTTCACATGGCACTGCAGGAGATTTCTTTTGCGCAGCTTTTATGAGCCTCTTAGCCTCATTTTGTACTCAGTCTAGTCTTTCTAGCTGGGTTTTGCTGACAGTGAGGAGACCCAGGCCATAGTCAGTGCTAGCAACTTGAATGCTGTCATACCTTTCCTGGCTCTAAGTATGATGTCTACGTGACACTTGTCCTGGAAAGTAAAGGCAACAGGTGTGGTGTCAACCCCATCCCCTACACTGTGCCAATTGGTCTTCACAAAATATGAGCCTAATAATCCATGCCAATTATTACTATTAAAGAGGGGGTCTTCATTTACATAATAACTATCCACATCTATTTTCGATACCCTTGTAGAAGATTTCTCCAAATGCTCAGTTGGCTTGGTCATATTTGGAGGAGGATGGTAGAGTCCTTAAGGAGATCCTCTATGGTGAATTACATAGGAATAGAAGATGTCGAGGTCGGCTTCTACTCATCATCATCAAGTGACTAGCATGAACAATCATGCCATTCCACAATCTCCGATCTGTAACTATGTGTATCTGTTCATTTGCTGACATTCCTCCATGCGTGACAAGGAGAATCTTCTGGAACTGTCTTCCTCTGTCTCAATTTCTACAGATTCTTCCTGTCGTCCGAACTTGTTCCAGTTTCCTTCTTCTCACAACACAAGCAATAAATAATGCCTGTCGCTCTCTCTCTCTGATGTTTATGATAAGATGTCTTTGAGCCTCTTTTAATTTTATGGTAAGGATTATTCTGTAAAACCACATCTATGAGATGCAGAGCTCTACACACACACAAAAAAAGAAGTGAGCAGGTAATGAGACAGGCTCGATGGAACCAAACTGCAAAGGACTGTGCTGCATGGAGGGGAAAAATCAGGAAGGCAACAGGAATAAAGAAGAAAATGACTGCAGATGGATCAAGAGCCGAGCGTCCGACAGGAAGCATGCAAAATGTAAGCAACAATTGCCCTGAAATCCTATTCTCTAACTGTGGAAGACAATTTTTAATGTGAGCAGGTCTTGCTGTTCCCACTACCCATCGTCTGTGATTCCATGCCCTCCTATAGTACAAAATAACCCTTTTATCTGTGATTCCCTGCCCTCCTATAGCACAATATACACTTTTATCTGTGATTCCCTGCCCTCCTATAGCACAATATACACTTCTATCTGTGATTCCCTGCCCTCCTATAGCACAATATACACTTTTATCTGTGATTCCCTGCCCTCCTATAGCACAATATACACTTTTATCTGTGATTACATGCCCTCCTATAGCACAATATACACTTTTATCTGTGATTACATGCCCTCCTATAGCACAATATACACTTTTATCTTGTGATTCCCTGCCCTCCTATAGCACAATATACACTTTTATCTGTGATTCCCTGCCCTCCTATAGCACAATATACACTTTTATCTGTGATTACATGCCCTCCTATAGCACAATATACACTTTTATCTGTGATTCCCTGCCCTCCTATAGCACAATATACACTTTTATCTGTGATTCCCTGCCCTCCTATAGCACAATATAACACTTTCATCTGTCTTCTTCTTCGATCCTTCTGTCAGAAAACGTATATCAGGAGGCCGGTAGCCTTTATGAAAGCTATCGTGCAATCCATATCCTCTTGTGTACCATACAGTTTTGTCTTTATTGTGGTTGGAACAGGCCAGATTGCGTCTCTGTTGTCAGCATACAGTTGACAGTGTTGGAGCACATGCTCAGCATTTTCGGGTGCCACGCTGCAGGGACACGTCTCCGTATTTCCTACACCGAAAAATTTGAACATATGTTGACGAAATCTGTTGTGCCCAGTCCTTAGTCTGAATATAATAGACTGTCCCTCTCTAGAGAGGCGATGAAGTGAGTCTTGGGGAGAAAATCTGGTGTGGGTATCCAGCCACCTTTCTTGGATACTAGATTGTATTAATGTTTTCATCTCTTGGTGGGTTAAGTCGCTATTTGGTTGTACCATGTCACTGCCGCTTCTGGCTAATCTGTCCGCTATTTCATTGCCTTCCAAGCCACAGTGACCTGGAATCCACTGCAGTACAGATTGTTCTACTGAAGAGCCTAAGTAAATCAGCTGTTGCGTCAAGTCTACAAACTGAGTGTTTTTTGGGTTAACAATTGCTTGTAGAACTGACATAGCATCAGTCAGAAAGACCACTCTACTATATTTGCTGTGCTGTTGTCCATTCAGGAAAGAACAAGCCGCTAGAAGTGCTTCTGCCTCTGCTCTGTAATTGGAGGAATATGAACCTGTTGGTACAGCCTGGTTGATTTTTAAACCATTTGGGCATTCTATGTATATTCCTCCTCCTCCGTCTCTTACTGCTCTCTTGGCTGAACCATCTGTATACACTCGAATCCAACTCTGGTGTGGGTAAAGTCTATTGATCTCTCCTTCTGTAGTTGATTTCATATCAGTGCTGCTCATTGATGATTTGGAGAAGATCCCTGTTACAGTGGTTCTGACTGTTGGTAGGCTATCCCTAAGCCAAGCGGGGCAGTCGTTGTAAGGTTTAAGTGGAACATTTGGTATTATGGGAGGGAGTTTAAGGACAGCGAGCTTGGCATTTGCGTTCTTAATAAAGCAAGTTCTCTTTAGTCTAGCCTTCTGGGGTTTCTGCAGTCGGCTGTACATGGGTTGTTCTTGAAAGTGGTGGTATTTGGAGAGCTGGGTGAGGAGCTTTGTGTCTCTCCTATCTTCCAGATTATGGAGACCAGTAATTGTTTCCATATCTGATATGGGCGTGGAGCGCATTGCCCCTGTCATAATACGGAGAGCATGGTTTTGGATCTTTGAGACTTTTTGAAAATTTGATTTAGCTGCTGTGCCCCAAGCAGCTATTCCATATTCTAGTGTTGGCCTCACATAGCCTGTATAGGTCCTCTTAAGGACATTGAGGTTTGCCCCCAGTCTGTTCCAGCTAACTTCCTCATCAGTTGTGTTCTCTTGAGTCCCTTGCTCTGTGTCTTTTCTATCTGTTTTCTCCATGTGAGTCTTGAGTCAAAGGTTACTCCTAAATATGACGATGAGTCATGTGATTCCATGCCCTCCTATAGTACAATATAACACTTTTATCTGTGACTCCATGCCCTCCAATAGCACAATATAACACTTTCATCTGTGATTCCATGCCCTCCTATAGTACAATATAACACTTTCATCTGTGATTCCATGCCCTCCTATAGTACAATATAACACTTTCATCTGTGATTCCATGCCCTCCAATAGCACAATATAACACTTTCATCTGTGATTCCATGCCCTCCTATAGTACAATATAACACTTTCATCTGTGATTCCATGCCCTCCTATAGTACAATATAACACTTTCATCTGTGATTCCATGCCCTCCAATAGTACAATACAACACTTTTATCTGTGACTCCATGCCCTCCAATAGTACAATATAACACTTTTATCTGTGACTCCATGCCCTCCAATAGCACAATATAACACTTTCATCTGTGATTCCATGCCCTCCAATAGTACAATACAACACTTTTATCTGTGACTCCATGCCCTCCAATAGTACAATACAACACTTTTATCTGTGACTCCATGCCCTCCAATAGTACAATATAACACTTTCATCTGTGATTCCATGCCCTCCAATAGCACAATATAACACTTTCATCTGTGATTCCATGCCCTCCTATAGTACAATATAACACTTTCATCTGTGATTCCATGCCCTCCTATAGTACAATATAACACTTTCATCTGTGATTCCATGCCCTCCTATAGTACAATACAACACTTTTATCTGTGACTCCATGCCCTCCAATAGTACAATATAACACTTTTATCTGTGACTCCATGCCCTCCAATAGTACAATACAACACTTTTATCTGTGACTCCATGCCCTCCAATAGCACAATATAACACTTTCATCTGTGATTCCATGCCCTCCTATAGTACAATATAACACTTTCATCTGTGATTCCATGCCCTCCTATAGTACAATATAACACTTTCATCTGTGATTCCATGCCCTCCTATAGTACAATATAACACTTTCATCTGTGATTCCATGCCCTCCTATAGTACAATATAACACTTTCATCTGTGATTCCATGCCCTCCTATAGTACAATATAACACTTTTATCTGTGACTCCATGCCCTCCAATAGTACAATACAACACTTTTATCTGTGACTCCATGCCCTCCAATAGTACAATACAACACTTTTATCTGTGACTCCATGCCCTCCAATAGCACAATATAACACTTTCATCTGTGATTCCATGCCCTCCTATAGCACAGTATCTGGAAAGACGCCAACACATAGAAAATCTTACCAAAGCTTGGTGCCGCACTTGTAGCTGTTGTCGTCTTCCCAAAAGAAAAACCACCAAATCCAGTAGATGCTGTGGAGGCTGCAGCCAGTGGAGCCCCTAAAGAAAACCCAGTAGCCGGGGCAGAAGATGTTGGGTTTACCCCAAAACCTGCAAAAGCTGGGGTTGAGGTTGTGGCTGGGGTAGCTGTAGAATACAGATATTGCATTCAACGGTTTAAAAATATGTAGCCAAAATATCATTCAAAGAAACATCTGATGCAGTAAAGCAAACCAAGTACTGGGACAGCTAGCCCCTCTCTTACAGCATAAGACAACCCCAATCAGCACAAAGAGACATCTCATACAAAGCCAATTCATTCCAGTTCTATGCTACCAGTGCCAGACATGGTCTTTCACAATAACATCTAAAAGAAAATTAGTAACCATGGAAATGTGATGTAAGAGAAGGGCTGCAGGAGTGAGCATAAAGAAATTTCAGGAATAAAGTCATAAGAGAACAAGTTTGCACAGAACTAATTCTAAATTACATACGCAGACAGCAAGTTAAATGGTTTGCCCACTTAGAAGGCATGCCTTGTGACACCACAAGAGGAAAACAAGGTAGAGTACAAGGAAGAACAAGATGGAAACTGAACAACAGCACAATGTGTCTATGGTCAAGGTGGCCATAAAAGCCAGAAGCAGAACCATATATCTCCCTTGACACCCAGAGCGGTGAAAGAGAAAGGCAAAGAATAAAATTGTATAGAACCCCTTTATTGCTAGATAACCTGCAGCACCCATTCACTGCTAGATAACCTGCAGCACCCATTCGCTGCTAGATAACCTGCAGCACCCATTCACTGCTAGATAACCCGCAGCCATCGTTACCACTTTGCTAAGCCAGGTCAACGCGGACTTGTTTCCCCGTGCTGAATACTTTTCTTTCCTCCAAAGACAAAACATGCATCGGCAGTGCTGACAATATTTTTCACACCTAAAAATATTCATCCTAGGGATGTGGGTTGTTGGCATGTGTGCTGACAAGTCAGACATGTCCAAAAAAAACTCACCTTTACAGAAAGCAAACACTAGAAACTAGATTTAACTACTAGGGACAGCTAAACAAAAACCGTACCCTGTACTTATCTTTGTTTCCACAGATGCTGTAATATATAGCAGAAACTCCAGAAAGGAGTGATCACAACATCCCAATCATCAGAAGAACATTTTGTGTTCACGTTGTGGCCCCTTTACCTAGCCTAGCTTTACGGGAGAATAGTGCCAGAAAATGTTCCCAGCCTTTATTTTAACTCAAGCGACAATATGCAGTCGTATGTTCAGTCACTGCCACTAAATGCAACTGAGAGTCTCACTGCTTCCTGGCCTGTTCCACCGCCCCCTGGCTTGTTCCACTGCCCCACAAACTAGATCGACAAAGCTACCGAATCCTCAACTCTCCCCCTTTCCAATCTGACCAATTAATCCATCACGGCTACCACTTTGGTCATAATTAATTGTAGTCATCCTGTTATGTTTTTTTTTTAAATACTAAGTACTTAGACCATCCATTTCTGTGCTAAGAACTGAAACTATACAATAAAAGAATTGTTTTTCAAGTGTCTCCAGGACTTGAATGCTGAACCTTCACCATGAAAGGCGGCTGTGATAACCATTATGCTAGAAAACTATACGACAATATTCAATAAAAATAAAATCAGTATTGTACAATGTAACAGACGTGTTTTTTTTTCTATTGTATAGTATAGAAGATTCTTGATGTTAATCAAGTCAGTGTGATGATATACAATATTGGTAACCTCTTGTTGATCACTGAGGAATCCATTTAAAATCTCTTTGTGTCAGATCCGCTTGCTCACTGCCAGAAGAATATGTGTCTGGAGTGCCGTGAAGACAACCTAACTCATCATCATCATCATCATCGTCAAGCATCTTCTCTCGTTGTCTTCCTCTATCTCTCCTTCCACATATCTTTCCAGTGGTCATAACATGTTATATTTTCCCTCTTCTCTTAACATGGTCGAAAAATGATGACTGTCTCCTTCTGATGTCGGTGATAAGTTGTCTTCGGGCTCCTGCCTCTTTCAAAACCTCTTGGTCGCTCTTTTTGGCTGTCCAAGGTATTCTAAGCATTCTTCTGTAAAACAACAGAAATTGTTTGGCCTGCCTACCGATTGTCCAGGATTCACAGCCATATGTTAAAACTGGATGTATGTAGCAAGCAAGAATTCTTTTTCTAACTCTCAATGACAAGGATATATTGCACAAGATGTTTTTCATTTTATAAAATTCAGTTTTTGCCTGTCCTATTCTGTTTCTTATCTCAGTTATGCATCTTCCATCTAATGTTATCCATGTGCCCAGATACTTAAATTTCTGTAATTGTCCTAAAATAACACCATCAACTTTTATTACACACTTAGGAATAATTCGTTTCTTTGATACCACCATTACTTCTGTCTTCCCATTATTCAAACTGAGGCCCATTCTTCCACTTTCTAACACCACAATGTCTATCATTTCCTGTAGTTCTTTCTAACTTGTTGCTATCAAGACTGTGTCATCAGATAACGTAAATTGTTTATATTATACCCACCAACCACAATTCCGGGCATACCAATTAAAGCTCTCATTATATATTGACTGTATATTGAAAACAAATCAGGTGACAGTACACATCCTTGTCGCCCCTCTTTTTGCTTTGAAATGTACCTAAACAGTTAATTTTTATAGGTGCTGTTTGCTGCCAATACATATTTTTTATTATTCATAGATCTTTCCCATCAATGTTTAATTTTTCTAACAGTTAGATTACTTCTTCATGCTTCACACAGTCAAATGCTTTAGTATAGTCTATGAAGCATATATACAAATCAGTCTTTACTTCTATAGCTCTTTCTGACAATGTCCTTAGGATATATATGGCATTGTTTGTACCTTTTCCTTCTACAAATCCACATTGTTAATCGCTGATTTCTGGTTTAATTTTGTTTCTTATTCTTCTCATAATTATTTTCAGTAAAATCTTAGTCATGTGACTCATAAGACTTTTTGTGCGATGGTCTTCACATTTTATAGTGCCTGGTTTCTTAGGCAGAGCTTTAAATATGGATTTTAAAAGGTCATTTGGAATATACCCACTGTTATAAATATCATTTAAAAGTTTAGTTATTATTTCAATTCCAAAATCTCCCAGTGCTTCGATTTCTTCCAGTGAGATGTTGTCTGGCCCGGGTGCTTTTCCTTTCTTCATATGATGTATTGCATCCTCAACTTCTGCAGTCATTATTGGTGGACCATCATTGTTGGTCTGCAGTTCGACATCTGGTCTATTATCATCATACAATTCCCCTATATACTCTGTCCATCTGTTAATTATATTACTATGTCCCATTAATAAGTCACCATCTTTTGATTTCAAACATCCAGTGCTGTTACGTGTCATCTTTCCTGTTAACATATTTATCTTTTGGTACATAGAATGTGAGTCTTTCCTGTTGTTTTCCCCAATCTCTGTACACATTTGATTCAACCAGGCTTCTTTAGCTACTTTGCATTTGTTCACTATTTCTTTTTGTATTCTAGAGTATTCTTCTTTATCATTCTTTTTCTTAACCTAACTCATACATCTCAAAGTCAGCTTCGCTGTCACTCCTTGAAAGAAACCTTTCATTAATTCTTCATCAACGTTAACCAGTTTTCCTGCCATTTTGTATTTAAAAAATGTAGACTAATGCAAAACCAAATTCCAGGGGACAAAATACACACAATGCTTCCATGGCAATCAAAGCAACCAGAGACCGCTGCCCTCCTAACCTAAACACACTTGATAGGGTATTTAATCATACGTAAATCGGTCCCTTGGATTTGAATATGGCTATTTTCATTTGATTATTGAAAAAAAAAGCAATTAGCTGTCTGTAAGGAAAGTCAAAAACATATTATTACGCTCATAGTAGTGACAGCCCAGAAACCAGACATCTCAAGATGTAAGTAGCTTTCTACAGGCAAACAGAAAAATACGTTTGTACAGCAAAGGTGTTAATCTTTTCTCTTGTATTTGGTGTAGAAGTAAAATGTAAAAAACAAAAACATTTAGGAGGTGCAGACAGGGAGATCTTTGAGTGTTAGGATTCAGGCCTGCATGGCTATTGCTTTCACCGTGGATTTTATTTTGACTCTCACTTGTCAGCGTATGTGGCTAAGGCGTTGCGAAAACGCTTTTCAATGCCGAGGTGCCAGGTTTGATCCCAGCTGCGGACGATTCGTCTTGCGCTGGTTTCAACAGTGGTCTAGATAGCTGAGGGTTGAGTAAGCAATGGCAAACTACAGAAAGTAAAATTTGCCTTTTAAAAAAAAAAGCCAAAAAATGCTGGAGTAGGTTCTGCAACATCCTGTAGAGAATAGGCAAATAACTTAATTAGTTACTTCTCTTCTACCTTGGGGTGTAGAGATTTGCCAGAAAGATCGCCAGACTTTTCTGTCGGCAGTTTTTCTTTTGGCTTTGATCCATTCCAGTCCTCTGTCAGTTAAAACTGGCACTAAATAGCATGCAATAATCCTTTTTCTAACCTAAAATTACATGGATTTACTGCATAAATTGTTGTCTTTAATCGAATGCCTTTGTTGGCTTATCTTCATCCTGAAATGCAACAGCAAAAATGTAGACAGTTTAAACATAAATGACACTTACCCAACAAGCCAGTTGCTGTTGTTTTAGGCAGCCCAAAACTAAACCCAGAGGTAGCAGTTGCTCCAGTGGTAGAACCCTGGCCAAACATGGTTGTTGTTTTTGGCAAACCAAAAGAAAATGGGGATGCAGTTCCAACTGTTGTACCTGGGTTGCCAGATATGAAGCCTGGCATATTTTGTGCTCTGAAATGATTAATGAAAATGTTGACTAACGATTAACATCTTTAATTAACTTGAAAAGCAAAGATGTAATGGTTTAGCCGAGGGCTTTTCAACTAAGTTTACTCCAGGACCGAAATGCTGAAAATGTGGATCGTCCCGGGCCAGTGGCCTGAGCTCAAGTGTGGGAAGATTATTAACACACTACAAGAGAAAACATTTTTAATGTGCAAATTTAATACAATCTAAAACTGTTATGCCTAGGGCCTAGTCTACGGTAATATAAATGAAACTTTGTTTCATATGGCTTTGTGCAGAAGAAACCGAAAGTTATAGCGATGCAAAATGTAATTAAGAAGTTGCATTTCCACTTTTTAGCTAAGTTTATAAAATTTGGCTGGAGTGAAATCAGAGCAATTTTCATGCAAACCTGCAGAATTTCATTGCTCAATGAGCTCAGACTGTTTGTCTCAATGACATTTATGTGTGAAAAGCTTGATTCAAAGGTGAAAGTTGAGCAAATATGGAGAGTCGGAAAACGGCAACTTTCTAGCATTAAGGAACTGATCCTGTTGAATCCTTGTGGAACAAAACTTGACGGTACCACTTTCTTGAAAATTATTCAGTACGCTGGAACTTTGGATATCCACAAGTTGTAACTGCAGAGAACCTTTGTCAACAGATAATAACAGCTTCTTAGCATTCAAAGAAAAACCACCCTCCTGATGGATTTTAAAAGGATCTTGAATGAATAACATTACATCGTTTGGGATATTGAAATCTTCAAATCTGTTATTGAAAATATTGTTGAAAAGCTTTTTTAATAATTCTATCATTCGATTGGTTAAAATCGCGGAGTCCGATGTTGTGATGACCCTGCTTTGCATGGTCTCCACGCTCTCAACGAGCCAAGCGGAAAATCTGCGCGACAAATAACCGATTCTTGGGGCGAGTTGAGTAGACATGGGCAGGCCCGAGCTAGACTCGTGGTCAGTCGCATCAGATCAGAGAATTCCAGGAAGTCAGTTGTCTTGTTAGAAGATGTAGTAGTTGGTTCCAATGTTGTGTGGATGACTAGTGTTAATAGTCGGTTGGAAGATATGGATGCGTGAACAATGTCACGACATGCAACACTTCAGCCGATAGTAGCAGATGATAATAGCAACTGTTGACAATTTCTAGCGACCATTGACAATTTCGAGACACGCAACGTTACAGATGATAATAGCGACATGGCAGGAAAACCATACGCTCTGATGCAAATTAGTGATAGTGTTCTTCCTATTAAACTCACTGCCGGGAGTATTCCCCGTGCCGCTACGTACGGCGTGGATGGGGATCTAAAACTAGATACCTGGTACTCACGAGCAAATAAATTGAAGGAAGTTGCAGGAGATGCAGTAGCTACTGCTCGTGAGTCCCAGCCAACTAGTTTAGCCCTCCATCTGCGCCGTGCGTAGCGGCGCAGTGGATACTGTTGACGGTGCGGCATAGTCACAGAAACAGGTCCGCAATTAACATATCGCTAAGACCCTGTTAGAGAATTTGTATCCTTATTCGGAGCCGATCCTAGTTTTGCCGCGATTTGTTCCTTGGCAGGAACTCCGCATTTTGCATAGGACTGAGGCCCTGTTAGGGTATTTGTTTGGCCGCCATAATATGGGGACAAAGTTAGGAGAGCAAATTTTTTGGCTCTACTGGCAAATCCGGACGAAGAATAAACAGCCTTGGACGACTTAGTCAGAGTTTTTTAATAAATACTTTTCACCGTGGCATGCCCCGGCAGGAGGTGTCTTTTGTGCAGCCAAGAAAAAGTCTCATGGCCTCTTTGTACTGAATCGGTCCAGTCTTTCTGCCTGGGTTCAGTAGCTGACCGGGGAGGCCCAGACCCAGACCGTCCGTTAGTAACGGCGTTACTCAGTTACTCATTTATTAATTTATTTAATCTATCGTCCTACGACGCTTAACTTTAACAAAAGCCCCATAAAGAAAGGAAAAGGAGGCGTTGCTCAAAATTAGCTGCTGCTAGCATTTAGTTACATTTGTCCTTCAGCATTTTATATTTACTTTTTTTTTAAGAATAAGAGTGACTGACTGAACTGACCAGGCAAGATTTTTGATTTCATTCACATTCACCACGGAAGGGAGAACTGGGAACAGTGGAACACCGACTCAGTCACATGAGACAGAGACGCAGGCTGACAATACAAGTAATATTTCCCGCATAAAATACTTGAAGGTTGTCTTATGTTATAAAAATACAAAATATGCACGCGATAAATAACATACCCAGGTAAATTCCGTGAATCTGATGACGCAAATTTAAACAACTTCAAATTGTCTCGCCACGATTGCAGGCCCACTTCCGGTCCGCGAGTTGTCTACCTTGGCGGTCAACTAAATTGCTGGCCTCAACGAATCTTCTTTTAGAAAAATTAGATATATATATATATATATATATATATATATATATATATATATATATATATATATATATATATATATATATATATATATATATATTGAAAAAATTAACATTATAATATTCAGCTACTGGAACAACTATGCATGCACTGCGATTCATTTTTGTTGTCGTCATTTTCCACTTCTGTCTATCCTTCGTCATCCCTAGTGGGATGCAATTTTTCGGTATTTTGGAACCCCTCCCCGGCTTTTGCCATGGGCCGCAATATAGCCTGACAGTTGAACGCGGTTTCTGGGACCTTTCCACGGGTGATCCTCATTCGCATGGTAGCACTTTGTGTCGTCGGGTGTTTATCGCTCTGTGTGATGTCCATGTGTGGTAAATTTTACTTACTTACTTCCACTTCTGTCGTTAAGAATCGCGGGGAAGGAAATGTTTTTGGCCAAAGGTTTTGCCTGAAAGCGTTAAATCTGGGACAGTCTTGAAGGATGTGATCTGTTGTTTCAGGTGCCAGTCCACAAGTACACACGGCTGATTGGCCAATCTTAAATTTGTTGTACATGTGGCCTGTTCTAAGGCGAAGGATAATGACTTGCTCTGGTCTGTCCATAATATGGTAATCGTCTGGTGCCAGTTTCAGTGACATTCTGATTGATTTGATCATTCTCTTCTTCTGTTGATAAGAGACTGGTATGTCAGGTTGTTCTTCAGTTGCACCTTCCTTAGCTAGTTTATCAGCTCTTTCGTTTTCCGGGAACTCCACAGTGGGAAGGTATCCACTGCATTACTAAATTACAACGGTTGCCTAGTTCGGATAATAGTGTCCGTATGCTTGGTAATTTTCCAGACTGGAGTGACTGAAGTACCGCTTTTGCATCTGTCTGATCATCATCTGAATGGTGGCACTTTGTGTCACCAGGTTTTGGTCACTCGTTGTGCGGTCCTGATGGGGTTGAATCACAAACAATTATGTGTTGTTGTTGTCGTTGTTCAGTGTCTCTCATAAAACCAGGCAAAGACTCTGACGCTTCAGACGAGATCTAAGCAGTCCTTGTCCGGACTAATCCTTCTCAGAACTATGCCAGCAAGAGACTATGAGGCAAACGGCAAACGTACTTGGCAGAGAACTCACGGGACCAGATATCAAGACCCAAGTCCTGAGGCATCAGACAACGGGTAAGACAATACACCGAAGATCAGCAAACGGCATGCGACATCGACGAGGAAGATACCAAATCAAACTTCCTAATTATAACCCTAATATTTTAGGTTTAACACACACACACACACACACACACGCACGCACACACACACACACACATAAACACACACACACACACACACACACACACATATATATATATATATATATATATATATATATATATATATATATATATATATATATATATATATATAAACTAGGGCTGTACCGAATATTCGCTTCGGGGCCGAATACTGGACAATAACTATTCGGTATTTGCGGTCGGACCGAATATGAACAGTGGTTACCTTACAACCGTTTCTGCACACACTGCGATGGACTGAAATAACTCTCTCATTAACACAGTAGTTGTTGTTGCCTAAGTCTGTCGAAGTGTGGGAAAAAATTGCGACTCGGATGCGTAGTACAGCAGCTGGCAAAGTCTTTGCCTGCTGATTCGAACGAGGCATTACAGCAGATGTCCTCAAACTGGGTGCATATGCCAGGAGTGCCACGGCGAAAATCAAGAAAAGTCGGCTATAAATTGTAACATTATTAAAGAAGGTATGTAGATTTATTTTTTTTTCCCATTTTTTCACACTCAAAGTGTATCATGCTGCATAAAATGCCAACCGCAGCTTGTTAAAAATTGTCTTTGTATTTATCTCGAGGTGCGACCGATCCTCCATCTGTATTCGTGAAGGTGCAGCGGATAAGTAAGGTTGTGATTACATATTGGCTGAAATTTTAAAGTGGAAAATGTGGTCTGTACAATAATAACTGTTAGCCTCGTCAAGTAAGTACTTATATTTAAAGGCAATGCGTTCTTTTTGTTTGCTTGTTTTTGTTGTTGCTTGTGTGAGTGTGTGTGTCTGAGAGAGAGAGAGATAGAGAGAGAGAGAGAGAGAGAGAGAGAGAGAGAGAGAGAGAGAGAGAGAGAAAGAGCCCATGCATTTTTCGTTCTTTCAATGTGTCTTCGCCCAGATCAAATTTGAAGATATTGCTAACAATAACATAAAGGTGCGTTTAAATTACATCGAACGAACGGCCGAGCGAACGATGGTTTTGAAAGAAGGAGACAGTCGTCAATTTTCGGCCATGTTATGAGAAGAGGGAAAATAGAACATGTTGTGACCACTGGAAAGATATGTGGAAGGAGAGATAGAGGAACACAACGAGAGAAGATGCTTGACAGTCTTGTTGCATGGCATGGAGATGTGTCAGCACATGCACTGATACATGCTGCAGGAGATCGCAGATTGTGGAGAGGCATGATCGCCCACGCCAGTCGGCAAGGCACCTGATGATGATGATACACTATTCGTATTCGTGTTCGGCCGAATAGTTGGTTCCACTATTCGTATTCGGCCGAATAGGGAAAATCA